TGGCTGCAAACCAATTACGTTTTATACTTCTTTCTGAAATAGAAACAAAAAGAAACGGTGATACATATTTTTGCCTGTAAGTTCATTAAAGCGATTTATCTATAAAAATTTTAAAAAAAACACAGATGAGGTAATAATGTCTAAAGATGAGTTTTAGTTTTAATGGCCAAGGAACTATAATTGTTCCCATTACAATTTTAATGGACAGAATTTTGAAAAAATATTTCTGGAATAAATAACGTCATATATGATATATCGGGTGCCACACTCGGAGCATGAACTGCATACCCTTCATGAGCATCGGAGATCACCCCCGGGTTTTGGTGGGGTTCGAATTGCTCATTTTTATACGACCGCAAAAAATTTTTACGGTCGTATATTGGTATGACGTTGGCGTCGTCGTCGTCGTCGTCGTTGTCGTTGTCGTTGTCGTCGTCGTCCGGCGTCGTCCTGCGTCGTCCGAAGACACATTGGTTTTCGCACCCTAACTTTAGTTTAAGTGAATGGATCTCTATGAAATTTTACCATAAGGTTCAATACCACAAAAGGAAGGTTGGGATTGATTTTGGGGGTTATGGCACCAACAGTTAAGGAAATAGGGGCCAAAAAGGGGCCAAAAATAAGCATTATTGTAACTTCCAGACATAACTTGTGTGTTAGTATATGGATCTCTTTGAAATTGTACCACAAGGTTCCATATCACACAGGGAATGCTGGGATTGATTTTGGGGGTAATTGCCTCAAAATATCAGGAATAAGGGGCCAAAAAAGGGGCAAAAAACATGCATTTTTCTAGTTTCATGACAATAACTTGTGTGCAAGTGTATGGATCTTTCTGAAATTGTACTACAAGGTTTCATATCACAAAGGGAAAGCTGGAATTGAGTTTGGGGGTAATTGCCCAAAACGTTTATGAATAAGGGGCCAAAAAGGGGCAAAAAATAAGCATTTTTGTAACTTCCAGACATAACTTGTGTGTTAGTGTATGGATCTCTCTGAAATTGTACCACAAGGTTCCATATCACACAGGGAATGCTGGGATTGATTTTGGGGGTAATTGCCTCAAAATATTAGGAATTAGGGGGCAAAAAAGGGGCAAAAAACAAGCATTTTTCTATTTTCATGATAATAACTTATGTGTAAGTGTATGGATCTTTCTGAAATTGTACTACAAGGTTCCATATTACAAAGGGAAAGCTGGAATTGAGTTTGGGGGTAATTGCCCAAAACGTTTAGGAATAAGGGGCCAAAAAGGGGCCAAAAATAAGCATTTTTCTAGTTTCCAGACAATAACTTGTGTTCAAGTGTATGGATCTCTCTGAAATTGTACTGCAAGGTACCATACCACAAAGGGAAGGCTGGCATTGAGTTTGGGGTGATGAATCATAAGGGGGTTCAAAAAATTTGGGGGGGGGGGATTTTTTTTTTCCTTTTTTTTCTTTTTTTCCTTTTTTTTTCTTTTAAAATTTTCCATTTTAAGTTGGTTATTTCTGTTTTATATTTAAAAGCAAATAATAATGATATGGTAGGAGATACACACCAAACAGGATGTGTAAATTATTATATAATAAGTATTGCGCAATAGCAAGAAATTTTCAATTGCACAGTATTGCACAATAGCAAGAAATCTTCAATTGCACAGTATTGCGCAATAGCAAGACATCTTCAATTGCACAGTATTGTGCAATAGCAAGAAATATCCAATAGCACAATATTGCGCAATAGCAAGAAATTGTCAATTGTACAGTATTGCGCAATAGCAAGAAATATTCAATTGCCAAGTATTGTGCAAAAGAAGATACTTCGTATAAATTGCTTATTTCTTGACCAATTTCAATGGGGTTTTATTCTTGAATTCTTGGGGTTCTTTAATATGCTGATTCTAACCGTGTATTAAGTTTTTGGATTTTGGGCCCGGTTTTAAATTGGTCCACATTGAGGTCCAAAGGGTCCAAAATTAAACTTTGTTTGATTTCATCAAAAATTGAATTATTGGGGTTCTTTGATATGCCGAATCTAACCGTGTATTTAGATTCTTAATTTTTGGTTCCGTTTTCAAATTGGTCTACATTAAGGTCCAAAGGGTCCAAAATTTAACTTAGTTTGATTTTAACAAAAATTGAATTCTTAGGGTTCTTTGATATGCTGAATCTAAACATGTATTTAGATTTTTGATTATGGCCCCAACTGTTCAGGGTTCGACCTCTGCGGTCGTATCAAGCTGCGCCCTGCGGAGCATTTTATTTAGTCAGTTTCTATGTTGTGTTTTGTGTACTGTTGTTTGTCTTTCTGGTCTGTTTCTTTTTTTGCCATAGCGTTGTCAGTTTATTTCCGACTTATAAGTTTGAATGTCCCTTTGGTATCTTTCGCTTCTATTTTAATTAATTGTACATGTATATTTTTTATTCTCTTTAACGAAATTGTACGAACAATCTGCGGTATATGAATTTAAGTGTCACTCCAAATTTTTATGTCAATCTGTTGCCATGAAAAACTCTTTGTTAAGTTGATCATGTACATGTATATTTTAAGTTTTCATGTATTTAATATATCAGCTACATGTACACGTAAATAATTAATTTGTATTCTCTCCATTTTCTAGTTCACTGCTGTTTTTGACTCTGACAGTAAAATGACCTTGCAAGAACAGGCTGAAATGATGGACTGGAAGAACATTACAGTTACCAGAGAGATAAAAGACGACGTCATGCTGATGGTGCGTCATTTATCTTCGAAATAATAACTGACACAACTAGATTTAAATTAATGAAAACCGCAACAGACACATATAATTTATAAAATATTATTTTAAATTTTTTAATGGGTTGTTTGGATTTGGAGTGGTGGGATATTAACTAAATAATACATTGTTCTTCAATTGTCTCATTAGTTTTTTCTTCTTCTAACTAGTTGATTCTTTACAGAATGTGATATAAACATTATAATTATTGCGTTTTCCATTATCAACATTTCAAGTTTCATAAGGGTATAGATACAATATATTGAATAACTTATATATCAGAAAGGTGCATTTTGTATTGCAGGAAGTAGAACTGGAAAACGGAGTAAAGATGTCACAAGAATTCACAAGATGCTAGCATTCGTATGCAAAGAACAAACCTGCGACTCAGACTTGATTGTTTTAAAGTTGGAGAGGGAATTTATGTGAATACACTTATATTCAGATTGAGTGACTGACAAAGAAGTACTCGTTTGCTATATGTTTTAAACTGCTAGCTATCATATTAAACGTTTTTGTCGAGGGAAATTCTTTAATTCTTAATGCTGATACAGTAACACAAACTTTAGCTATAAAACCAGGTTTAATCCAGTATTTTCTACATAGGGAAAAGCTTGTACCAAGTCAGGAATATGACAGTTGTTTTCCATTCGTTAGATATGTTTGAGGTTTTGATTTTGCCATTTTATAAAAGACTTTTCGTTTTGAATTTTTCAGAATTTTCAGAATTTTCCATTTTATAAAAGACTTTCCGTCTTGCAATTCGGTATTTTTGTTGTTTTACTTTTTAATGATTCTTTGGGATAAGCATTCTACATTAAGTTTATATGGTGGTCATCTTTACTGGAAATACATGTATAACTACGAATGAAACATGGTGTAATCACATGACATCAACCCACGAACGATCACAGAAACGAACACATATTCCTGGTAAAGCAAAATCCAATCATTACACAGTAAAATACAAAGTTGTATTTTTTTCTAACGGCATAAAGACGGGGAATTTTGACAATATTATTTGGCTATTCGCTTATACAATGTAATATCGGACATGTTATACCTGGAATATGTCAAAATCTGTTAATCGATAAACGTTTGCTTTTAAATGCGCTTCAGGACTTTTTCTGCTATTTGAACTTCTTTCAAAAGTGAAGTCAAAAGCACCAAAGAGACATTCAAACTCATAAGCCTAAATTAAACTGACAAACGCCCTGGCAAAATAAGAAAAAGACTAAAAGACAAACAATATATACCAAATACAACATAGAAAACTAAAGACAGACCGAGCAACATGAACCCCACCAAAACCGTGGATGATATGACAGGTGCTCCGGAAGGGTAGGCAGATCTTGCTCAACATGTGTCGTGTTGTTCATGTAAGAGCAAATCCGGTAATAAGCCTAATTCGGTAGGTCACATTCGAGGAAAAGAGGACGTGATTGTGGTTGCGACAATTGGAAACTATCCGTCGTCATCTGTGAAATAGATATTGCATAACGGTCAAAATATTAAAACCAATAAGCAATAACATCAAGTTTCACATGTCATCCTTTCATTTAAACTTGAGAAATACATAATGTTTGAAGAGGAAAATCAGAATATAATTATTTCTGAGTTGGATATGGTCACCATCATAAATTGGTTGACCTAAACGATGTGTCAGTGGTCTCAACTCTTGACTCTTGAAACGACTTGAAAACAACTGTCATATCCCCAACTCGATACAGGCATTAACGAAGAAAATGGTGGTTTAAACCTGGTTTTCTAGCTAGCTGAACCTCCCACTTGTATGACGGTTGTTAATACTTCCGTTATATTAGCAAAATTGTGTGAGCAACCCAAACAGACATAATTGGTTAACATGAGAATAATTGGGATTCAGCAGCCAAAATTGTGTATTAAAACATATATCACATGTATGCAACGCAACAGATAAAAGACAATGATAAAATTAAATCTAACAAAGACACCAACAAAAAAAAAGCTTTTGTAGTTGATAGTACAATAAAGTAAAACGTAATGACATATACACACTTTCCCAATCATATCGACATTAAGTAAAATATGAATACAAGGATATACAAAATGAACACCATAAACGAATTATAATAAACAACTCGAATAAAAAAAACCGCTGTAATATCTACGACCTTCTTTGTTCAACGATTGTTTTGGAACAGTACATTTTTTGTATTAAGTATCTATATTTTACACGACATGTAGTTTCAATTCACGATCATATCTATTTTTACAATTAGTGTGATAATTTTGAATCTCAAGTATATGTTTAACTTATAATCATCAACAAAACAAGCAAAACGTAAACAGGTGAAGGTCATATTATTGTATTTTGTATTTAGATCGGTTTTTTTAAACATCAACATGGCGAAATTTATCGGAAAATGGAAAGGTGAAAGCAGTGCATTTAAAAATTACGATAATTTTTCAAAAGCATCAGGTAGGCATATTTAAGTTATTTAATAACATGTAATGGAATTATACCATGCACTTAAATCATGATCTTTAACTTGATAAAGACATACACAAAGTTAACATTTTTGTTATTTTACTTTTTAATGATTCTTTGGGATAAGCATTCCACATTAAGTTTATATCGTGGTCATCTTTACTGGAAATATAACTACGAGTAAAACATGGTAAAATCACATGACATGATCACAGAAACGAACACATATTCCTGGTAAAGATAAATCAAACAAATACACAGTAAAATACAAAGTTGTATTTTTTTCTGACGGCTTCAACATTTCCGTTATTTCTTTTCTGATGCAATACTTGTAAAATATTCAAAGTATGAAACGCCAAATGCGATCGCGCAAAGTTGTTGCCAATGACTCCGAAGTTCAATCGTGGAATTGACGACAGAAGTCATCCAATCCAAAATGGTACATGCTATATTGTATGAGTTTGGTTGTTGCCGAATGTCAACCGTGGAATTGACGACAAAGTCATCCAATTCAAAATGATACATGTTACATAGCATGAGTTTGGTTAGTATAATGCGAATACTCATTCATATAGAGTTACTGGTTTAGTTTTATAATCAAACAACATGGACGGAAGTACAATCCGCGAATTAGTCCACCATACAATAAAAAAAATTATACAAGTCTACTTGAACGCTCTTTATCCATATCGGACTTTAACATTGTATATGATATCATGAATCATAAATTAAATCATGTTATTTATTGTTTGAAGATATTTATTCATTATTAATAATTACAGGTATGCCTGAAGAAATGATTGAGAAGTTAAGAAATGCTACAATTTATGTTGAATTCAAACAGGATGGTGATATTTGGACATTGGATTTCGGCAGTACTGTTGGACCAGACAAATCATATAAGTTCGAGTCAGGAGAGGAAGTTACAACAACTGATCCTTGGGGAAAAGGATTGAAGGTATACCAATTCAAGACATAGCATATAGCTTGGTATACACATTGCATTGACTACAAATCAATGTTTAAAAATCACAAAATCAAAAGAATACATAATTATTATTAAAAATACCAATTACAAATATTTAGGTAAATAAAACACACGTTAAGCAGTATACGATTTTTGTCGTCACATGTACCATGTTTTCTTTAAAACGCTGTTTTAAAGGGAAATATTAACAGTTTTGATAGGAGCCTGTAATTAAGTGGTTGTCGTTTGTTGCTGTGTAACATATTTGTTTTTCGTTCGTTATTTTGTACATAAACCTTGTGAGATTTCTCGTTTGAATTGTTTTACATTTGTATTTTCGGGGCCTTTTATAGCTGACTATGCGGTTATGGGCTTTGCTCATTGTTGTAGGCCGTACGGTGACCTATAGTTGTTAATTTCTGTGTCATTTGGTCTCTTGTGGAGAGTTGTTTCATTGGCAATCATACAACGTCTTCTTATTTTTTATATTATATGATTATTAACGACAAATGAATATTTCTGAAATGACAATATATAATATCATATTTATTAAGATAACAGTATGTCATTAATATATGTAAAGATGATTTATTTACACATATAACGATAATTCTGATCGAGTTCAATATAAAGCCTCTAAGAACCTAAAGGTGTTTAGGGTAGAATGTTTGGAAATTGTTACCTTAAAATATAAACAAGCCGCCTTAATGTTTGGAATATGTCTCGTCAATACCATATGGAATTATACCCATTTGTTCTGGATGGAGTATTCGATTGAAAAGGACATACAATTGTTAATTGAAAACACCACTTTATATTTTCGATGCGTCCAAATAGCTTTACTGGATTAGCATTCACCAGAAACGATGGAACCCAAGAATGTATAAACTTTATTCTAATATTATAGTTTATAGTATAGAAAATAAAAATTTGGAGATGTGGTATGGTTGCAAATGAAACAACTATCCACCAAAGTTCAAATACAGGCAACAGTACGCCCCTCAACAATTAGAAAAAACCCATACCGTATAGTCGGCTATAAAAGGTCCCGAAAAGAAAAATGCGAAACAACTCAATTGAAAAAACTAACGGCCTAATTTATAACAAAACAATTTACGAAAAACAAATATGACAGATATGAATAAGCGACAGCCACGGAACTACAGGCTCCTGACTATGGACCGGCGTATAAAGAATGTGGCGGGGTTAAACATGTTTTTAGTGCTCAAAATTCACTTTTATTATAGTAAGAATTAAAAGAAGGAAGTGAGGATAATCGTCAATGAGACACTAACACGACACACAAATATAAAACACATTTGGAGGTCAACATACAGTTTCCAATAAAACTTGAATGTCTACTTCATGACAAATTCTAGCAAGCTGAAGGACTATAAAAGATGTGCCATCAACGACTTATTCCTTAATCAAAAACAAAATAACAACACTAGAAACATTGTGTCATTAATATTGAGGCAGTGTTGCACGGAGTGTGCAGATTTTGTTTTCCATTTCATTTCCTTACATCTCTAGTTGGCATTGAATGGTCTTAGTCCCAAAAAAGGGGTTTTTGAATACCTACTGGTGGCATTGGCCGAATTGCTGCTGTAACACATTTAAAAGTTTCGTGTGTAGGCTAACTTGCCATAGCAAATATAAGAGATATTAAAAATAAAATTTCGTCCCTTCCTTAAATGTTCTAGATAAAACCATAAGACAGATTTGACGATACGTTACATTTTTTTATTGGTGAATCAAACATGTTATCTTGGTAGTACGTTGGTTTCCATTCTATCTTTTCGTTTTTTTCAGTATAAAACACCCTCGTTTAGTGCATCAAAATATATAATGAAGTATCTAACATGTGTTATAACATTAAGTCAAGCAATAATTTCCGGTATTTTTTTTATTGCATTTCCTTCCACTTTACAAAAATGATATATTTCTAATTACTAGTTTTGTCGGAATATTCGAATTGATGTAGCTATTTTTAATAAAATGATGAAGGATGTTCACGTATTACGAATGTTTTGTTCAAATTGGCATAAAGTGAAGTATCCATGTATCTTCTTTAGATAGCGTACAGTCTGGCTGACAATATCTTTATGATATAAATGAATAATTTAATGATTAATAAATTCCGAATGTATAGAATATTTGTATCCCTCCCTTCCTTTAGAGGACTCATCGGTCCTAACTAAAACGTCTATCTGAATATTTAACTTTGGCATTAAACTCATAGAAAAAGATATCAAAATGGCCTTTACAAGAACAATATTAAATATCAAATGAAGTCAGCATTATAATGTGGATCATCAAAAGAATATCCAATGCAAAAGCTGATTAAAATGCAAGAATTAAAGTAATTCAGTTTTCAAAGAAAATCCTTGTATTTATCCAAAACCATGATATTATCTGTGATATTAATACAGAGAAATATTTAATTGAACAATGTCTGATTATGACTGTAATTTCAGAACTCGAAATGACTGAAATTCTCGGTACTGAAAAGATGACTGATATGTTAAGTACTGAAAAATGACTGAAACTTTTTCGCAATGCAAAACGGCTGAAACTTTCAGTACTAAAAATATACTGAAATTTCTGTTCTGATAAATGACTAAAATGTCAGTACTGTAAACAATTTTTTGAAGGATAAGAAATTATATACACGGATGTTTAACATTATGGGTATGATGTATATTGCTATGAAATCGCAGTGGATACACATTGTTAGAGAATAAACGCAAGGGGATATATGTTTCTATATAAAGGTATACATAGACGTGTCGCTGGTATTAGCCACTTGTTTGACATGTCAAATTTATATACGGGGTGCAATTCCCGAAGATAATATAACATTGGGTTATAAATGGTAGAAATATATATGTAAATGGGTCATAAATATTCCTCTTCTGTTGATTATCCGTAATATCCATGTGCTGTATTTATCTTTTTTTTTGTTATTACGATTGATTCATGTAGTTAACATCTAATTAAGATATCGGTTGTGTGGCTGATAGCAGGAAAGAAATAGGTGATGAGTTTTGTATAAAATATATGTATGGGTAGGGATTTTGGAATAAATAAATATATAGATTGAGGCCGGTTTTTAAACCTCGTCCCGGACGTCTGTACCATTTTTTATCTTCTAAAACTTTCAATCAACACACAAAATGACGTAGTTTTGATTACTGCAAAAAGTAAAATAACAAAAATACCGAACTCCAAGGAAAATGCAAAACGGAAATTCCCTTATCAAATGGCATAATTAAAAGCTCAAATACTTCAAAAGAACGGAAAACAACTGTCATATTCCTGACTTGGTACAGACATGTTACTATGTAGAAAATTGTGGATCAAACCTGGTTTCATAGCTAGCTCTGCACCTTTTTCATAAGGTTCAACTAGAAATGTTCTTATGTTGACATTTCAACGACTCGTGATCATCTTAATGAAATATAGTTTTATCAGTTATGGATTATCAAACTATCGAAGCATTTTGAAACTGTAATTATGGCTAAATATTGGATATAGTTAGTAAATCGAATAGGATTAAGTCGTTGTTAAAAACTCAATAACAAGATCCTTATGTGTTCGGTAATGGTTAAAAGAAAACACATAAACATTATCCTTACGTTAAGGTAAAAGATTGAAAAAGGTTTTAAGAAGATAAAATGAATACATGTAAGATGAGTATATGAATCGTGTAAAAACTGTTCCTGAAAGCTATAAAACCAGGTTCAATCCACCATACTACGTAAGAAAATGCCTGTACCAAGTCAGGAATATGACAGTTGTTGTCCATTCGTTTGATGTGTATGTGCTTTTGCCATTTAATTGGGGACTTTCCGTTTTGAATTTTCCTCGGAGTTCAGTATTTTTGTGATTTAACTTTTTCCTACGGTTTTATTTTAATTTTACTTTCTAGTTTACATTTACAATCGATTCGGATGTAAAAATAACTCAAGTAGAACAGTCGGAGTCAATGGGTTGGAAAACCTTTACTGTCACTAAAGAAATTCAAGGAGACGATAAGTTTTTTGAGGTAAATAAATCTACATGTAGCTACTAAGCATGAAGGAACATACAAAACAAAATTATATTAAGACAAATGCAAAAACAACTTTAAAAAAATCTCAACTGTATTATATCACTCTTACCAAAATTTGATGTAAACTATCTGTGCCGAGATTTACATACAGCAGGCTAACTTTGAAATAAATACTGTCATTCTCAGAATCATTTTGCGTAACTAGGACCAAAAGGTGTCCAGCTTCCTAGTGCTTTGTGGTACCAAACAAATTTTTCTTAGCATTTTGAAAATAAGTAACCTCAAGTTTTTATAAGTGCAATGCAATGGAATATGTAAATAAAAATCACTAACCATTTTGAACAATCCTGATCGAAACACAATGAAATAAGTGGCTTGAAATGATGACTATTCCAAATGTCGGATTGTGATTAAGTACTTTAAAATGTACAAACATTTTAAATATAAAAACATAAATGAAACTTCAACAAAATTCCGTTGTTAACTTGAATAACGATACTATTGACCAATCCAGCCACATGAAATAACAGTATTCAGATGTCCTTGTAATAAATGGGCAACAAGTTTTGAATCTAAACAATAGACTAATTCATAATAAATTGATGGTATGCAACGATTATCAATTCACTGTTTACGCAAGCAACGACAAAATACCAAAAACAAATCAACGAAAAGGAAACACAAGAAAATAAAAAGTCAAAGATATATGTCAAACTAAGGCTTGTGTGTGTTTGGTCCATTTTGATGTATTTTCTTATATCAATATAAATGTAAATGAATTAAACAAAATCTAAAAAAAATGTTTTATATTCCTTCTTGAAAACACATTCAAAACTCTATGCAAAAAACGACACGCAAAAATGAAGGTATGATCGTGCTCCTGCTGCGCAACCCATCAAATACGTAATCATTTGAATGACAATGCACTGAAAAGATTATTTTGAATTAGCAATTACTATAACAATGTACTACAAAAAAGTACACATACAGTGTATTGAGTCCAAATTTGCCAGATTTGTTTAATGGAAAGAATTCAATAGTCAACAATGATTGACAATTTAAAGAAGAAAGAAGAGTAATATAGATGGTTTTTTGGAAATGCAGTTTTGAGTATATGATAAATATATGTAGGCCACAATGTCTGTGTCTACCATTCGTGTTTACCGTGACCTACATTTAGGGAATTTGTTAAGAAGTAAACTTAGACAGGCTCCTCTTTTCATTTGATCGAAAAACAAATAATTGTATGATTTCTTTATTGTCTATTTTCCTAGAGATTAGCGCTTGAAGATGGTACTGAAATGACATGCGAATTTACCAGAATTTCTTAAGACGATACAGTTATATTATGTCACCAGGGGATAAATGCAATAGATATTTTAAAGATAAAAGAATGGAAAATACTTTATGGACTATTTTAATTTCTCAACCAATGTAAATAAAATTTGAAATTCTTTTGAGTTTATCTATATACATTTCTAGACCATATCGGAGGTTGTGGTCAAGTAATTAAAAACGTGTTTGCCTGATTTGAGCCACGGAGATGTGTGGATATTTTATACTTTATCGTTGTTACTAAAGGGTCAGTATGATATCTTGTTTTGATTTGGTGTCCGTAATCTGTCGTCGCATCTCGTCTGTCGTCGTCCGATACTTTTTGCAAAAACCTATTTTTAAAATTGGACAAAGTTGCCTACTCATGCGTTCTTTCAACTGTTTCCATGTGCTATCTTCATCTCATTGTGTATACAAGCTTTCTGTGTTTTACACGTGATCATGCACAATCTCATAGGTTTTGTAAACTGTTATAATAAAGTTTAACAATTAATTCGAGAAAATGTCCAGTATTTGGAAGAGATCGTTCCTGAACCGATAGATATGTTTGTTTAAAGAGCCAAGTGCCAAAAGGAACCAATACTTTTTTTTTCACTTTTGTATCTTTCAATAGTATACAAAACACAACATAGAAAACTAAAGATTGAGCAACACGAACCCAACCAAAAACTGGGGGTGATCTCATGTGCTTCGGAAGGGTAAGCAGATCATATGAAGAGGAAAGTCCAACTTAACGTATGTGAGTTTAAAATGTGAAGAACGCACTATTTGACCTTCGATCAATCATTGTATCACTGTCAACTCTTTGTCTGTTGGTCATTTTCTTTTTTAGCCATGGCGTTGTCAGTTTATTTTCGACTTTGAGTTTAAATGTCCCTCTGGTATCTTTCGTCTCTCTTTTAATTAAGAAATATGATTATATTACATGTAACGGTCGAAATCCATATTGGTATTTCGGTTAGGATATACTGCACAGTTGCACAGTTTATCTTTCAGCGTGAATACCCCCATAATAGCTAATAGTTAAGGACGCAAGACGCGTATAATGAAAACATCTGTTAACACTTTATGTCAAGCAATTATTTCCGTTTGCTTCAATATTTTTAATTAATAACTTATGATTCCTCTTATGGATACATAATAATTAGTCATGCCGGATATTCACTTATGATATCTGATATGCGGCGTAATGCACATAATGGGTGTCTCTGTGCATTGATTTTTGTACAGTCTTGCCGACATTTTGTACGATAAAAATCGTATTTTCATGTCATGATATAGTTTATTTGTCATATAGGCTATACATTTTGCCTTCTTGTATTTAAAGAATTTATATGGATTCGTTTTTAATTCTTAGCTGGAGACGAGACAAGTTTTTAGTATTCGTTTTAGCAATCTATATACGAATTTACTCTACACTGTTCAGATACGATATGATGTCTGTACCAATTATGTCGGTGTTATATTGCATACATATCAGGAGACACTTTGAACCCTGTCGACCTCTCGATACATTTGGAGTTCATGCGATACCCTCAGGTTTTGTTTTGTTTCCGTGGTTTATCTCTTCTTTATCGTTTTATGATATTTGCGACATTAGAACATCGCAATCGGCAATGGTACGGAATCGGCCGAGTTGTGACGAATGTAGACCATCGGTAAACTAACTGTCGCCTTAATTTGTTTACAAATGTCAGAGAGTGACTAATATTTTTTAAATATTTATATTATTTGTTTTTAATTATATTAAGTTTATCCTTTTTGTATTCCACTGACAGAGATCAAAATGAAGAAGACAAGGATGCCATTGTAGATGATCGTACATATATACCGAATATTAAACCAAAATGAAACATTCTTTCCCGATTAAGTTGAAATTAAGTAAAATATAAATAATAGACAACAAAAATCAACAAAATCAAAACAAATTAAAAAGAATTTCAACTGTATAAAATCCCTCTTGGTAACTTTTGACGCAAAATATCAAGTATCATATTTTAAATAAAGAATGGCAACTATCAAATAAAAACGGACATTTTCAGAATTGCGTTTCGTTACTTTGACCTGGACACGGATGTTAACATGCAAACTTATAATATACTATCTTCCTTAGCAAAACACGTACCTTTGATTTAAAAATTATGTTAATATGGTTTAAACTTTAATCTTTAAACAACATATTGTTAAATATTTAATTTAAGATTAGCACTGGAAGATGGTACCGAAATGACGTGCAATCTTACCAGTATTTCATAAAGATATGAAACCAATATATGTCAACTTTAAATATATTCAGTGGATGGGTAAAGGAGGTACTCAAAGTTATAACAGGAGGGAAAAAAATTGACATACTGACGCTGTTTAGCCACGATTTTCCAAAACTTGTTGTGCCAAATCATTTATATACCATGATCAATATCAAACAGGTTTCATTCAAGTAAAATTTAAAAAATGATATAGATATTCACTGTTACGGTTTGTCTCATGTTATACACGTATCTTTATCATTTAATTTTTTTTTCTTTATTTTTGTGTTAATGGCAGATCTATGAGACTTTTGTTTGATTTCTTCAAATCTTTGATGAGTTATCACAACGTGATGAATTCAATCATGGCATATTGTAAAGTCAGTCGCAGATGTTTAAATGTTTCTGTTTGAAAAGTTTGATTTATTCACATTTTAAAAAAATGTCTGCATAATTTAAAGCTTGTCCTATAATTATATAAACACCTTTTGCTGTTGACCTCTATGTATCTTTCGAATGTTTCTGTCGTTGGGCTGGTTTCGTTGATTTATGCCCAATATTCTCCTTTTATTCGATCATTCAATTAATCTTTGCTTACACGGTCATTGAACATAAATATACAATGTGTTAGTTATGTGATGCTTTAGAGGAATTTGGTGATGATGGTAGCGAATATCTACATTAGTACAACTGTTTAAAAATGCGCTCCGACTATTATAAATAAAGAAGGACTATTTATGATAAAGAACAAGTCACAATAACTTGTCTGGCACAAACAATTAGTTCAAATTTTGAAAGTTAACAAATCTGCCATAACATCACTTAGGTAAAAGGTTTCCAGGGATTAATAACAAATTTCACATATTGATCAGTTACCATGGCAATAAACCATAACATAGTTTTTATATTTTATCAAATTTCTTGATTTTCCTTGTTTTGCAATATCATTAATTATATTTTGAATTTTTTAGATTGAAAAATATACACACACACCCAAGAAACAACTTTGATGATTATCTGCCCTTGGAAATGAATGGTTGATTTTTTTTCTCTGCTCGACCTGCCTGAAAATTTCAACTTAAATATGGTGAAACAGTGAATTTTTCCGGAATCAACACATGACAAACTTACTTTGATAGTAATGAATGAAGGTAATGAGTGAAAAACAAAATACTCGTAAACGTGAAAGAGAAATAGAGACAGAAACTTTCAATTGTAAACAAAACACAGGTATAATGCAAATGGCGGAAATTGACATGACGGAGACAGAGAGCTCACTCGAACAAAACCTCGGTGAATACTCCGAGGATCAAACATTTAACAACAAACTTCTTAATGGTATAATAGGCATACAACAAACACTAAACAGTCTAATAATAAAATTTGAAAACCAAAATGAAGAAATACATGGTATCAAAAATGATATATACGCCAAAGATGGCATTGAAGACAGACTTCAAGCTGTTGCTACAGAAACTGAAGATCAAACAACTATGATAGCCGAAGTCAGAAATCAAAACACAAAACTTACTACGGAATTAAATCTAATGAAATCATACGTGGTACATTTAGAAACTAGACTTGATTGTCAACAAAGTCAAATAGCAAACCTGGTTGAACGTAGCATGAGGGAAAATGCTATAGTAATAGGGGTTCATGAACGAAAAGAAGAAAACGTAAAAGCGGAATTAAAATTGATTTTCAAAAATGTTTTGAAAATAACAGAAAACATTAAAATTGACCGAGCCCACAGAATAGGTACCCAGACAAATCAAAACAGCACCCGTCCTATAGTTGTAAAGTTCCATGACTACAATGACCGGGAGCATGTCATAAACACTGCACGAACAATAAGCAAACAAAACAAAGACTTACTAAATGGCATATACATAACTCCACAATTTCCAGACGATATGCGTGAAAACAGAAAAAGACTGGTACAAAAACAAAAAGAGTATAAAGAAATAGATGTAGACACTAAAATTAAAGGAAACAGTCTATTCTTCAGTAAAAGTGGAACCAAATATGCGGAAAAAGTGTCAACACCGAAAGCATTTGCAATTTTTGATACTAGCAAGTCTAAATTTGATCTATTTGAACAAACTAGTTCCAATGAAGTTAATGACAATGGTCACACGTATTGTGTAACAGCTGCTGTCACCACAACATATGCAGAAGTTCGTGAAGCTGCTCGACAAATAATGCAGGGCCCAGTATCAGCATGCACATACAACACGTTGGTATATAGATTTACAGACAAAGACGGACATACACACGACGGGTACGATGACGACAGAGACTACGGAATTGGATCAAGGATACTTGACTATTTAAAAGAAATAGATGCACGTAACATAACTATTATTTCCTCACGTACACCGCCATCTGGTACAGCAAAGATAGGTTCAAGAAAAAACAATATTATCTTGGAGGGAGTAAAGTCGGTTCTCCGCAAAATGTAGAAAATAAAACTTTAAACCAATTTACTGTGGTTTGAACTCATCTTGATAGACAATAAACATGTAGTAAAGCATGCTGAATGATACTTTTTCTTCTTTCAGGTTTACAATTTGTTAGATATTATATATTTAGTTTCATGTATTCTCTTTTCAAAGCCTATATATTAACTATTTTCAAAGTATCTAAGAGTTTCCATTCTCTATTTTATTTCAATATTATTCATAAATTTCACCACTACATATAAAATACAAGCGATTTATAAATAAACAAACTTCAAATGAAATACTTAGGTCATTTGTAGATAAAACTACATTTTATGAATTCTAAATTTACATAGAACTTCATCCGATACTTTATTTAAATAATGTCACCATGAATTAAAAAAAGTCAATAAAATACATGCAGCGTATATT